ATATTCAGCTTTTGCACACACGTCACGAGCATGGATAACTACTGAGGATAGATATAAAACCATAATTATCTAAAAATGTTCACAGAGCTAACATCACTGAATTTACTGATCGGTTCTTGAATAACTACATTTTAATCGTTTAAAAAACTTGACAAGTAAGGATCTGCTGATGTATCATAAGCTCTTTTACGGCCGTATACAGTTTTGCGTCCCTATCTTTGCGTGGATGTTAATCCACAATCAAACAACTCTGTAGAAGAGGTGGCTAGCATCAGTGAGTATCATAGATGCAAGCTTTTCACATGAATTGGCGTGGCTGGCAACAATTATGATGACAACTTCCAACCTTGAAATGCCACTATCCCGGCATAGATGCTTCTTCGGCATGGCACTTACTCAGCAGACCAGGGAAGGTTACGGGAGAGCAATTGGTCCAGTAGGGTAACACATTTGCAGTGACAGAACGCTGGATCCAAAAGCGGAGCACGGAAGAAAACTTGACACACGTAACATAGAATGCGAGTCTTCCAACTGTAGTGAATGTTTCCTCCACGTGATGGACCACGTTCGCCCACTGCTCAATATCATTCCTAGGTAGTCTACTGAAGTGCAAGTGGTCAAACATTCACCGTTAATGCAAAGTTTCTGATAATAGAGTTAGAATTTGCTGGTGGCGAGTTCCTTTGAACAACGAAAAATGGACATTCTTGCATTTTGGGGTGTTTAACGATAGGCAACGGGATTTGACCAAACTGGGACGTCTGTAGTTTGGCCGATGTTAAACACCCAGGATTACTCCGTTCTCATATTTCTGCAAGATTGTTTTTCAGGGCTAGAGATTGAGGCAGTATAAACGGAAAATAATGATGCGGACAAAATAGCTCCCTGCAGATCACTAGAGTTCGTGCTGAGTGGAGAAGAGTTTTTCCCATGAACCTGGTAAACTGGGTACGCCTCGTGAAATAGTCTTACAACAGAAGAACAACGAAATTTTGAACTCCAGAACCTGCTAGATAGCGAGCGCAACACTACTTCACGGTTCATACAAATGAAAGGGTTGCTAAAATACAGGAAGCGGCTATGGATGGATTTGTTTTTACTATCCAGTGTCGAGAACACAGTATGTACAGTATGTATGACTTGCTACTGAATCTAAGGTGGACCTTGAGCTGCAATATGCAAACTCATGAAGGTCATCCAACTGGGTCGGCTGATCACCTTTTAAGCATAAGCCCCTCAAATGCCTTCAGAGCAACCGACGTGCAAGTGATCGTCCGATATTTGTTGGTTCTTTTCTTTAGCACTGGCATGACGTTAGCGCTTCGCCTACTGTCAGCTATCTTGGGTTGCTTGGGGCACGTTGTACAAGTCGGCGAGTGCCTGTGCCAGGTAATCTGCACACTCCTTGAGCACGATGAGCGAAAATTTGTCCGGACCTGATCAATCCTGTGTGCTTCTAAGCTATTCACAGAAGAAGGGTTATCTGAGTCCAACTGTAACAACAGCGGATATATCAGTGAATGAAGTCTTTTCCTGGTCACCAAAATTGTAGTTAGTCCTTCCACATCCGGAGCTGATTGCGTGACCTCGCGCGTGACTCAGTTCAACTGTCTCACCCTTTTCTATATTTCACAATTCTTGTTTCTAGGTATGACTTGAACGTAGATATGAATGAGGCGGCGCAATTTGATTATTATATCAATCGATAGAAACCTTACTGATATAACATTTTTTGCGTCTTTTGTTTAATCTACACAGTCGTTTGAGACCTTGAAATTAGAATCTGTCGATACGGGAAAATTGTTTCAATTTCACAACAGATGTCGAGGGAGAACTTTTGGTAATTAGTTAGTTGGTCACAATACTTCGATATGTCCGCATGGTAAAATAGACTAAAATCTGCAGGCAATAGTTTCAGGTAGTCGCCCAATGATGAAGGTATTGTCTCCACTTGAACTTTCGATCTTTGCAGCGGATGAGATCTTTGTGGTTCATCTTGCTACGTGTGACAGGAGATAACTTTACAGTGACCTGATCAGAGCTCCCACGCGGCACCGGATTACAATCAGAAAATACTCAGGTTGTTAGAAGTTAAAATGTCGTGTTTTATCTGGTTGATGATTGGACTATGTTCTTTAGCTCGAGGCTCGCAACGAAGCTGGTGTCACATCTGTTAAAGTCGCCAACAACAATGCACAAGTAGAGTTCTAGGTATTCGAGGACCGCAGCTATAAATCTGTCCAAACATTCGACTTCGGAGCTGGGACAGCTAGGAGAAATATAGATGTTTGTTTATAAAGTCGAACGAAAACCGTTCAGCAGTCTTGGTTTGCATTTAACGATTACATATTTGATGCGTTGCGAGCTGTATTTAAAATCTACCATAAAGTATTAATGCAAATGGTAACGCCACCACCGTTTTCTCTGTGTACATTGGCGGTCAACACGATAAGAGCTAAATCCTTCGAGTTCAACAGCTGCATCTTCAACATCAATATGAAGCCGTTTCCTGTAGCTTAATTATGCCCGCGCGAGAATATTCATGACATTCTATCACAATTTGAAGGTTTTCTAATTTTCCAAGTAGCGATCGAATATTCGCACTGGATAAAACAGGTAGGCTCATATTTCTGATATGTCTCCTTCGAAGTGCAACCCACCATTCTGCACTTCGCTTTTGTCTAGAGATCCTTTTCCTCTGGTTAATTCTTTTTATTTTGTTTAAGATGGCTTGGCCAGGAAAAGTGCCTAGTTCATTTGTGTGAAATTACGCAACAATTTCAAAGTGTCCCGAGTGTAAACGATCATGTCCCTGTTTGCAGAACAACATGCTGAAACGTTAAAACGAAAGGTTTTGGTGCATTGCCTAAAAGCGTGTTTGTTGGTGAATTCGTTAGATGAGAATTATTGAGCACGGTCATATTGAAGGTGTCAATTTTCACATCGCTGGTGAAATTAACTAAACTTGATGAGGCTCGCAAAGTGATACAGTGGTAAGGTTGCGCATACCTGCATTTCATCGGATATCATTATGCAGCCGGAAGGAACAATTACTCTGCGCTAAAAGCACTAAGGAATTGCTCGTTTTTGTGCACCCATTCTTACGCAGCATTGCATTTGTCTGATTAAATCTCCGAGGGTGTTGTACAGAGGCCATATAGTCATTTTTCGATAAAATCACTGTACTAAACTACCGCTGGAACTTGAACCGCTCAATTCAGTTCTCTCCGGTTCTTCGCAGTTTTTTTGAACATCCACAGTGGCTCGCCTGTCTTGAAACCAATGTGCTTAGGTGGGCGAAGGTCTAGAGTGGCCACCGAACCATTCAGTTACAAGCGTGGAGTAAATGTTTGAAAGACAGTATGCTTCGTAAATATTCCGTCTCTATAATGAAGACTGGCACCGGTTTTGGGACAGGATCAAGATGCTAGTGGTTCTCTTGCGTCATGTTTTCTTGCAACTATCACTTCTTCCATTTCGCTAACGTGCTTCTCGAAGGTGGTCCGTAGCATGCGCCCTCATCCAAATGCCAATTATATCCTGACAAGATTTTTATTTGTCTTGTTTTTCATATTCCTCGCCTTTGTTTTCTATTAATGGTAAAGCGTGTGAATTCTACTAGGTATGTTTGTAAATCGGTGATTCAATCACAGTTGCCTCTTGATCTAACGGTCGACACATTAACGACTGCAAGTTTTGTCGACAGATAAACATCACATTTTCGTTTGTTCTCCGAGCTGAGCAATTGTGCTGCAGAGGTTTCTTCACTAGTCGAGGTGACATCGTCATTGCCTCACTGCTTAACTTACAAGCTCGTTGAGTGCTCGTACGCTAAGCAGTAAGACACTGACGATGTCACCTCGACTGTTGACGAAACGTCTACAGCACAATTGCTCAGCTCTGAGAAAAAATGAAAACTTGACCAGTATTCCGATTTATCGCAGACATTACATTGTCATAGTACTGTTATTTAAATGGTATGCATCTTAGTGGCATTCCGTTTGCTCGTCTCTGCAAACACTTTCCAGCAGCGAACAGTTCTATCCATCGCCCTCCAAACATCTTCGGCTTTTAAACGGCGGTCAACAAGGTAGGAGACACACTTTGCTCCAATAACTGACATCAACTGACGTCGCATAGAGAAGCCGACTCCCTCAATGTTTAGTCGGATTTTCGTTAGAGCTTGTTACCGCATTCTCTATGGTGTGTTTATGTTCAAGCTACTAATCAAGCAAGTGCAAACGCTTGCATTTATACGTAAACCTTCTTCTTCTTCCGATTGACTGTTTTCTACCGCCATGACAAACTGCTCCATCATAGAACTAACAGCAGTGATTTAGCTTACATTGATGTTTGTTCTGTCCTTTACTTTGCGCCACTATGTGGATCACATCAGTAATCGGTAGCAATACCTGCCCCGTAGCGCGTGAGTACACTATTAGTTATAGTGCGATTTCTCTCAGTTTCCACCACGTTATCCAAACTTCTCTCGATCTGATTTCATTTCCTCTCTATGACCCTTCTTTGTGTTTGATTCGTCCACCTTTCTCGGGCTGGGTTTGCATCTTCTCCACTTAGGTATCAACAATCTAAACTGATAATGATCTTAACATCAATCATCGTTACAGTGTCTGCTTCACTTTAATGAGAAAGCTTCGTACATATGCAGTAGAATAATGTGGTGCATCGGATATTGGCTTTTGTATGCACTTTCCAAATTACTCTCTGTTAATATTTAACGTTACATTACAGCCCATTGTAACTCGTAACTGTTTACCTTGCATGCGGAACGACAGATACCCGATTCCTTGCTCTAAAGGGATGCTGTCAGAAGAAATGATTCTATGACCTAAATCCTACAACTTGAATACACAGTCCCTACACCCAGTATCTTTCTCTCAAATCCGTGAATTTCGTCATTGATTTGGTTTGAAATGAAATCATGCTGTGTCCACCTATGGCATAACTTGCCTTCCTTCTTCATGACTCCTGTTTTGTAGATTTCATACCACTCGATCCGGCAGATTGTACCTTCACACCGACTTACGATTGATATTCGCACGCGAGAGGTTCGAGTTTGATCCTCGGGTGGCGACCTACGAACTAAGATCGTTTGTCGATGCACCCACCGACCCTCGGTATTCGCCAAAAAAGTGGGCAAAAAAACCACGGCGCAGCGCGGCTCCGCTTGTTGCACCGAGTACGACATCGTGACTCAGTTGATGCCCTTGCTGATCAATTGATGAACGCCGTGGAGGAACCAACTGGTTTGCACACATACAACGCAATGCAACCCCACTAAACTCATCTGCATCATACACTGCACTGTGTACGCGCCTGCACTTCCGGTCGGTCGCTTCCGTCTGCATGTTCGAAGTCATCGCATCCCGTTGTCGTGTACGCCATTCTGTCCATCAGTCCCCCACTTCTCTCTGGGTGTGTGTGTGTTTGTGGATTAGCCCGGCATCACCATCATCACAGCATCTCACTATTTTCTTATTGCTTGTTTTTGTTTTGTTTTACCTTTCTTTGTTTTGGAAACTCAGTTGTTTATGCGCCCATTATTATTTTCATGTTCACCTGTGATACCACAAACAGCCACAAATATCTGTGCGCAGTTATCTGCTGCTCCGATGAGCCGACCGGTGGCTGCCAACACCTCGTGCAAGCTGGGCACTACGCCCGTTGACAATTTGACTTGTTTGGGCTTTGTCGCCCAGTTTAATCAGTACACTGATCCCCATCGGGGAATCAGTTTGTTGTGTGGCTTTTTCTGAGTCCGTTAACCGATGTCATGGCGGTTCTGTCTTTCGCTCATTGCCCAACGACCTAAGGTATTCCTGGCACACGTTGGTGGCTCGGTGATCCAATCCTGACCGATCTATCTCTGGTATCAAATTAACTCATCTTGCTCGCTTAAGACTGTGACCACCTTCAACACAGATCTTCCTTGTCCGTAGTGAATCTACGCTTTTGCTCACTTTCGGATTCGTAAGACTGCCCGTGATTCTTCTTCACATGTTCTCCCGCCGCCAGCCGATGTATCGGTCACTTGTCATTGTCGTTCATCCTTTTTCTCAGTAGCATATATCTGCTCCACGTTATCGTCCACTTTTTATTATCAACACCTAACGATTCATGTTCATGGGGCTCCGTTTTATTTGGTCCGGGTATCCTCATTTAACACGGCCTCACTAAATTTCAATGTTCAGTTTCACGACTGCGGATGACGCGGTGCATTTGATGTGGTTGCCCAATCCTCGATATCATACACCAATTTTCAGTCACCGATCGCCACCGAGTTAACGCATCGTTCGCTTGTCTTAGCCTCACGAGCGTGTATCAGCGCAAGCGCGTTTATGACTCAAAAATAGTCTTCTTATCTTTTTGATGGCCGTCGGTTGCATGACCCCATTGAAAATGCACATTCTCATATGCGTTAGCATATACCAACGTGACCCTAGGTCCCCTCGATCAAACAAATGCCAAAAGATACTAACTGTTTAGGGCACATAAAGGCAGAACTCTCCTCTTCAGTGGCCTATTAACGGGATAGGGTTACTTCTGCTCGCGGGTCAGTGCCGATGGCATTTTTTGAGGACGAGCTTGTGTCAATTCTTTAGATCAACTAGGCTTCATCTGTTTAGTTGGTTCGCACTTGGTGCTAACTGGGATTACTTTCCACAGGCGTTGCTCATGGATCTCAGTAACATAGTGATCAAGGCGTCAGCTGGAAACTACTAGCCTTCGAGTTCCACTCTAGGTTATGCTATCTCCACCTGATGAGTCCAAACGAGGACGAAACCGTCGGTCGTGCGGTGTCAATATTGGGAGGAGCAACACCGAAATACCCCAATTTCAGAGGCAACCCAAGTTTGAAAGCGAACATCCAAATGTGATGCACCTGTTGCGCTCCCATTAATCCATTTGACTGGGACTAGCCTTGCAGTAAACATTATACAATGGTTTTTTTCACCGTACCTCAAGCGGTTTCCCAAATTCAAGGAGAGCCTACAAAAACAAAGGTCTTACTTTAGTGAAATCCATTCCTGCTCGTACTAAGAGATGCACTTCCTCAACCATATCTATAACTAGACCATTCTCTGAAACAACGGTTACCGTAAAATTCTGCGAATGACGAAACAGCTCAGCGGAGTCACTCGTCATGACACTGCTATCGTGGATGTAGAGGAATTAAGCCGCAACCTCTGCGACACCAGTGGTGACTCATTTTTCTGATTCATCATCTGCATCGTTTCAGCGGTCTTCGAACCCACTTACTTCTGTCGCTGTACAAGTAGCTAACACAGATGCACTCAGACAAGCATGCAGACTTGACAGATTGTTTCCTGTCGTCCTCAAGCAGTGCGCGGATTTGTTAGCTCAGGTTATGCCTGAATTGTACACAATGTCGCTAAAGCAAAGGCAAAACCGCGGATAGTTGGAGGATTGCTGGCGCAACGCCGATACACCAAAGAATGGAACGGATAAATATTGGCGTATTTCATGCCACTCAGTGGCTTTGAAAGTCTTTGATAAACTTATTCTTTAAAAATTTCAGGCACAATCCCGTTTAAATGATTCATATCAGTTTACTTATAGTAATTCAGTCTCCGTAAAATGCCGTGACTTGTCTAGTGTATCCAGTGTTATCGTTTCTAGACAATCAAAACAAATCCACCCATGTCTGCTTCTTCGACTACAGCAACACTTTCGGTTGTTAACCGTGCATTGCTGATGTTACATCAACACAACCGTTCGCCACACCTACTCAGGTCACCAATTCTGAGGACAAACGTTTCTCGCCACTTAACTTATTTTACCATTCCAGGGTCTATTTGTTACCATACTGGTTCTATACCAATTTTAGCTCCATACCTCTCCCCGAATGATTCATTTTACTAGAACTTGCTGATGACCTAATCACCGGTGTAAATCATTCAATCTCAGTCTGATCAACCAGTCCGCAGTTTGTTCGGACGATCTAGTGCAATTGTCGGAATCCCACTGTTTAATGCTGAGCTCATTCAAGTCCAGTGACATTGTGCTTTCACTCCATAAAGCAGCTTGTCATAAATTGTCCCAAGTTCCGATTGTAGGTGGCAATTTGAGCTTCTCTACGTCAGTGAAATATCGGAATTACACTGAGCCACGATTTACTGTGGTCACTCCATGTGAATTTTGTTTTACGTCACTCAATCATCCTCCGTAGCATGCCATTTGATTCTAAAGCTCATCGCCGCCACACCAAACTCATTGCTCTCCTGTGATTTTTCCAAACCTACTGTGTAAGCATTTAAAGCTGCTTGGCTGGTTGTTGAGACACTTGTCTTGCTGCTGCAGCATTCGAAAGCCAAATTTGTCTCTAACAATTGTATCTACACACCTTAATTCTTGTACAAAACGCCTTCAAAATACTCACCGACATTAGCCACTCTTCACAGTGCACTCTCTAATGGGATATCTACCTCGTCGACCAGGCAAAGTACAGGGAAATATATGCTCACACGAGGCCATATGGTTCGTTGGTCATTCCCTATTTAGCCAGATAGGGAACAAAACGCTGCACTTCAAGGTCAGACCGGTAAATTCTGCCGATTATGTTATGTTTTTCAATGAGCTTTTCTTTTGCTTTTGTTCTCCGGCTGCTTAGTTACTTTTTGTCATGCCTATAACATGTGTGTTACAGCTGTGGATTCATCCGTCATAGGTGGATAAACAATGAACCATGATTTATCACGCATAAACTAGCGGTTGATTGACAAGTCCCGCAGGATGAATGATAGGGATAAAACCACGATATTAACAGATATATGAGTTGTCTGTTTAGACGTTCACCGAGCAAACGCGACGCTGAATAACTTAGGGGTCAAATAATACTTGAATGCCAACAATAAAACAATATGGAGGCAGTTACAGCTGAGAAAATAATACATAAGAATACTCACTCATGTACCACCTTAGCTCTCTCTCTCTCTCTCTGACACAAATCCGGTTTGAAGGCATGATTAATATATTCCAAAGTGGCACAACTTAGGCAACGAAGTGATGGAGACCAAGGGCAATATGCAATCCTTTTTTGAAAATATCCAGTGTGGGGGGAGGAAACAGCTAAGTTTGTGGGTGAGTTCCAGGGTTGGCAAACCCGAAGAGAAAAGTAATTCCGTGGGCATTCTACGCGACTGTACTGTTCACTCAATTTCAGAGGGTTACCTCTGAGATTAGTGTTACGGCTGAGTTTCAACAAATAACGGCATATCTGATTAGGCTTACTCAATATTTGATCCACTAGAATGCGATAGCCACACAGCCTTCAGTAGCGTCCACAGAAAACTCCCACTGACTTCAGCCTTTGCTCATAGGACAGATTTCGTAAACGACGCTCTTCGTAGCCCTGCGTTGTGGTCTTTACCACTAGAGTTACCAAACTTGGATGGCCTATTCAACGTGAGGCAGCACGTAAGAGTTGTGCGCCATCGGGACGATGGATGGGTCAAAACTCCCGCTTGACCTTCGCAGCAGGCCGACGTTCTCGTCACCTCTTTTCGCAGGTGTCTCAGAGTGTATTTGACTTCTAATGTCACTTTGAATGAGCGCACGAAGGTCGCGTTCCTAGGAAGTGGTTCGCGATATGTATGATCCAAGCTAATGCATGTGGTCATGCCGATGGCATATTTGAACAGCGTGAAAATTTTCCACATTGAATGGCAAGGTTTTTTGAACTGACTAGTCTGCAATTCTGCTGAGGTCACGCTGGAGCTCTTGTTGGTCATTCGGTTCTCAGATCGCTTGTCATATCTTGATACCATCGACGAAGAGTGAGAAATCGGGAGTAATTGATCTCGCTAAATTTTTTAGGAAACCAAGTGTAGACGTGGCCCTAGCAGAGAGCCTTGGGTTACGCCACAATGTACCTCAGTTGCATCGGACAGGGATTCTCGTACTCTCACCTACAATCGATGTTTATGCAGGAAATTGCCTATCCAACGCAGCAGTAGGTCACCACTACCATAGAAGTTTGATAAGGAGAATTCGGTAGTCTAAGCGAAGTCCAAGTGAAGTCCAAGTAAATGACATCAATTCCTACTCCAACATCAACTTCTTCGGTCCAGGTACTGCGTGCACTTAACAGGATAGTAGTATATGAGCGCTCTTGGTGGAAACCATGTTGCTATGATGCTATGGTTTTCCAGGTACTGCATGAATGCATCCGCGTTTATTGATTTCATAACTTGGAAAGCACAGGAAGCAGCGTTATCGGTTGGCTTAGTGCGACTGCCTCCCTTAGAAATAGAACTGATGACCACTCGCTTCCATATTGGTGGAAATTTTTTCTCTAAACAGCCCTAATAGAAAATAGCCAGCGGTTCCGCCAGATCACTGGATGTTGCATGTAAACGCTTCGGTCGAATGTTGTCGACACCAGGAGACCTGTGGATACCCAGCGACAACAGTTTCTACAGTAAAAGTGGTATTGGAAAAACCTGACGGTGGGACAATAGAAACAGGGATAACCGTTGGGCCCGCTACTCTCTGGAACGTTTGTGAGTAATGGAACCGTAATGGATTTGCTGCTTCCGTTAATGATTGCTTGCACTCGTCAGTTGTGACCAGTGTTGAAATTCTGCGCTGCACCTTACGAAGGCCATTAACGTCCCTGCATGAAAATTCGCAATTCGTGCAGAATCGCTTCATTAACTTGCTGACACATCATCTTACCTACGTGGATCAATTTCACACATATTTTACGCTGTGCCACTTATGCCGCCCATGTTTCAGAATTCGGGTAGTCCTTGTGATCTCTCCCTGCTAAGCCCCTCAGGGACATGTATTTACGTGTTCTGCTCTTCAGCAATGACTTTTTTCTTTCAAGATGGAAAGATTTATGTTCCGACGCATCCGCTACCAGTGCTAAATGTCTTTGTGAATGTTTCCCAGGCGACTTCTGAAGGTATTCAGTTAAGAAGGCCCCAGATGCCTCCTTAACTAGCGCGGATAACACGTGGTAGTGCATATCATCATCATCATACTACACGTTAGCTGGAGGTGGGGAACACCTCAGCTATTGTGCCGCAATACATAGAAAAAAAGGAGAAAAAAATGCAACTGGTGCAAGCTGGCTGAGCTACCGGTAACGGATGGGC